TATTGAGGAACCAGAAGCAGTGCCATCCTCAAAGCAGCCGGTGTTTAGGTTTCTCTCAAAATACCTCACCACAAGGCCTAAACAGAAAACCTCCACAACCAGCATCAGGCAGCAGATCATCAAGTACAAGGAAGAACTTTCACATCCCATCACTGAGGACATAGGAGCAGACTTCTGGCTGGAAAAGAGTGACAGTTTTTATCAGAGTTTAAAACCTTTTGAGTTAAACTTGTGGCTATGTCAGCTTCTCAAGCTTTTGCAGAGAAGGTATACAGAATCACAGGTGACCTCACAAGGGGACGGTGCAACAGAGGAAGGGTCACATTGGAGCGAAGTGCTTTCCTTAAAATTAACAGAAACAAATAGAATTGTTGTATTCACTGCTATTTACTGACTATGTTATGTGTGCGGGAGGGAGTTCCAGAGCCTGGGTGCTGAGCAGCTGAAGGCTCTGGCAACCATGGTACTGAGTTTTGACCTGGGGACGGTTAGCAGTCCAGCAGAGGTTGAGCGGAGGGTCCGGGAGGGAGTGTATTCATGAAGGAGGTTGCAGAGGTAAGTGGGGGCTAGGCTGTGGAGAGCTTTGTAGGTGAGGAGAAGGTTTTTGTAGTGGATGCGGTATTGTACAGGGAGCCAGTGAATTTGGATGAGAACGGGGTGATGTGGTCCGATGATTTGGTACCGGTGATGATCTGGGTGGCCGAGTTCTGAATGATTTGCAGTCTGTTGATGAGTTTGGTGGGGAGTCCGGTGAGGAGGGCATTGCAGTAATCGATGCGGGATTTGACAAATGAGTGAACCAGGATTTCGGTGCTGGATTGGGTCAGTGATGGGCGAAGTCTGGAAATGTTGCGGAGGTGGAATAATGCAGTCCGTGTGATGTTTTGAATATGGGGTGCAAATGAAAGGGTGCTGTCCAGAATGACGCCGAGGCTCTTGACTTGGGGGGAGAAGGGTACAGGGAATCCGTCGACGATGATGGGTGGAGCTGGGGTGCGTTGTGATTTAGTGAGAATGGATTTGGAGCCGATGAGCAGGGCCTCGGTTTTATTGCGGTTCAGTTTCAGAAAGTTTCTGGTCATCCAGCTCCGGATGTCATCAAGGCAAGTGATTAGGGAGGTGGGAGAGATGGCAGCAGTCGGTTTGGAACAGATGTAGAATTGTGTGTCATCGGCGTAGCAGTGAAAATTGATCCCATGGTGATGGAGGAGTGAGCCCAGGGGGAGGAGGTAGATGGTGAAAAGAAGTGGACCCAAGACTGACACCTGAATACCCAGACTTGTGGTTCCTTAGTTGCACGAATTGTTGGCGGTCAGTAAGGTAAGATGTTAACCAGGAGAGTGCAGCACCAGTGATCCCAAAGCCAGCCAGGCAGTCCAGGAGCAGGTATCGAAGGCTGCGCTGAAGTCGTGGAGGATGAGAATAGTGAGTAGTCCAGAGTCAGCTGCACAGAGGAGGTCGTTGGTGATTTTAACCAGGGCTGTTTCGGTGCTATGTTTTGGACGGAAGCCGGATTGGAAGGGTTCATGGAGGTTGTTTGTGTCGAGGTGGGACTGCTATTGTGCGGCAACCACCCTTTCAAGTGTTTTGGAGATGAAGGGGAGATTGGAGATGGGCCGGTAATGGTTAAGGACAGCTGGGTCAGCACTGGGTTTTTTCAGGATGGGTGTGATGGCAGCCAGTTTGAGAGTGGGGGGTACAGTACCAGTGGTGAGGGAGGAGATAATTATGTTGATGATCATGGGGGAAATGGACGGCAGACATGTTTTGACAAGGGAGGTGGGAATAGGATCGAGCTGACAGGTGGTGGTTTTGTCTTTAAGGATGAGATCCAAGATGGTGTGCTCTGATACTGGGGTGAAGTTGGAGAGGGAGCTGATGAGAGGTTGGCCAATGGTTATCGTACAGGGTGGGTCGTTTGAGGAGGTGCAAGATGAGGCCAGTAGTTGTTTTGTATTACAACCGTTAAATCTGTGTCTGTATTGCATATTCAAACCTTAATACCATTCCATAACAGACTGATGGATACTTCCAATGACCGGAAATTCTGGAGAAACATTTAGTCGACTAAGTCCACTGTTGATTTGGTTGACTAAAATCTTATAATATTTGGTGTTATTCAAAAGACTAAGACCAAATCAGAATTTGCTGTCAAAATTAACACTGATCCTGTCTCATAAGGATACTGAGAAACTAGTCCATGCATTTGTTACCTCTAGACTAGATTACTGTAATTCTTTATTATCAGGATGTCACAGTAAGTCTGTGAAAGGTCTCCAGCTTGTCCAAATTGCTGCAGCACGAGTGCTGACAGGAGCTAGAAGGAGAGATCATATCACTCCTGTCTTAGCTTCCTTACATTGGCTCCCGGTAAAATTTAGAATAGAATTCAAGATTCTGCTCCTCACTAACAAAGCCCTTAACAATCTAGCCCCTTCATATATCAAATAGCTCATAACACCTTATTGTCCCAATAGCTCACTTTGCACCCAAAAAAACCCTAAGACTAGAATGGGAGGTAGAGCCTTCAGTAACAGGCTCCTCTCCTGTGGAACCAGGTCCCACTCTGGGTTCAGGAAGCAGATGCCATCATTTAAGGTTAGACTTAAAACGTTTCTTTTTGATAAAGCCTATAGTTAGGGCTGGATCAGGTCAGTCCTTAATCATCCCTTAGTTATGCTGCTATTGACCTAGACTGCTGGACGAACTCCCATCATGCACTTAGCACATCTCCCCTCCTTTCTGTCTCTCTACACATTTATTTATTTTACTAAATGTCACTAACTTTGTGTTTTCCCCTCCTGTAGTCTCTCTCTCTCTCTCTCTGCAGGTATCTCTGACTCCAGAACTGTCATGTCAGAACAGGATTCAGACAACAATCATTATTACTATCATATGAACTGTTGCTTCTATTAACATATTGAAAGCATAATTATCACTGTGCTGACTACTGACTGTGTTAAAGTTAAGCAAATTAAGCTTGTAATGTATTATTATTATTATTATTATTATTGTTAGGGCCCGAGCACTGACAGTGCGAAGACCCTATTGAAATTGTAATGTTTGTTTTATTTTTTTTTCAGGCAAGTGATTTGCCTTATTTAGGGCTTAAACATACTCGAAAACTCATGAAACTTTGCAGGCTATTCAAAGATGGTGAAAATTAGGTATTCTGGAGTAATTTGAAATGGGCGTGATAAAATGGCTAAACCGCCCACTTAGATCGCACTACAACGCAGCCTCTGAGTTTGCTTTTAACGATCTACACGAAAACCTGTACACACGTGTATCATGACCAGACGAACAAAAAAGTCTCAAGGAGCCTTATGAAAAACAGGAAGTCATCCATTTTGGATTTAGTGGCCATTTTGGCCAATTTACAGGAATTAAAATCAAAGCACCCCCTGGTGCCATCAGGAAATGTCTTCTTTTTTGCACGTCATACGCTTTGATGTCAAACTTTGTCAGATGATGTAGGCATATTGAAACTGAGTTTTTGTCAAACGTCATGATTGAGGCGTGGCGTCAAACTTCAACAAGTCGCCATGACACACGAAAACATTTGGTTTTATGAAATGGTTGTGGCAAAATAGCTGAATAGCGCCCCTTAAAGTGCAGCCCCGGCAGCAAGATTGCCCAATATGTAAAAAATCACTAGGGGCATGTGTTTTTTCATTACAAACAAAAAAGTATCTTGGATTGATATGCTAGACCAAACAGGAAGTTGTCCATTTTGAATTAAGTGGCCATTTTTGACCATTTACTCACCAAAATCCTTTGCAAAAGGAGACAAAGTTGTTATAACTCAACTGTGCATTGTCCAATCAGCCTCAAAACCCATTCACATGATCACAGTCCCGCCTTCAACAGATCCATATGTCAATATTGATTCATCATCACAGCACCACCTGCTGGTGACAGGAAGTGACATGATTTATACATTGATGCACTGCTGCTGGCTGCTTTACAATCTACAGCTCAAATGAGCTCGGACAAGCAATAAGAAGATGGTCATAATTGTGACATTTCCTCATACCATGTAAACATTGAGGTGCTGCGAAGGTTTCTCCTTCGCCAAAAAAGACGAAGTTGCCACAACTCCACTGTGCATTTTCCAATCGGCATCAAAATTTAAACCAGTGATCACAGTCCTAGCATGAACAGCTCAATATGTTAATATTAACTCAGGATCATAGCACCAGCATGAAAACAAAGTTGTTGTAACTCCTTTGTACATTGTCCAAATGACCTCAAATTGGTCACCAGCATCAGAGCCCTGACCTGAACAGGTCTATTAGTCTGTATGTAGTGATAGTGATAGCCCCATCTACTGGCAACCGGAAGTACGCCTGGTTTTACAAGTTAGATTTACCAAAAACGTTCACCTTGGGGTCTGCACTTGATGGTGTGGACCATGATGTGTGATTGCTGGGCGTGGTGAAGAGTTTATCCGTCCCACGGTGTGCAAAAGACACAGCCTCGTTGGGAGATATCAAGGGACATTTAAAAACATGGTGTAAATGACCTCGTTTTGAGTCGAATATTAATGTCAGGGCTTGCGGACACCTGGATGACACCACACAAACGGTATGGAGGCAGGTTTTTTTTTGTTATGTTTGAAGAAGAGGTTGCGATTGACTTCAATTGTATTGGATTCGGCTGCAATGCTGTTTACCCCTGATACTCCAAAAGTGTTTTGTTGACTCAAACACTTCACCCATCCCTCTATCAGCATAGTGGTGAGTAGATAATGAGGGACTTTTCATTTTTTGGTGAACTATCCCTTTAAGTCTGTATGTTTTATATTTTAAAAATTCATAGTATCTCCTGATGAAATGTTTTATTTTTAGCATTCTCTCAATTCTTCAAAGGTATTGTTTTCTGAATATGTCTTTCCCTAAATAATTATTTTTTTCTTTCCTCTGCTATTGTTATGTTGAATCTTTTTTACTTACTTTATTTTATTTTTCCCCTCATATCTTTGTGTTCAACCTCAACAGAATGTGTGGAGCATTAAAGAAGGCACAATCTATTGATGGACCTTCAGTTATTGGAATCAGCAAGACTGCATGACCTGCCTTCTCAGGTAAAGTGTCGCAACATTTTATATTTGCAATTACAGTGATCAAGGAAATAGTAATCAACCTGGGAACAGGATCCTTCCTATAAAAATGTGATAATTTTGGGTCTTTTCATACATGTTTTGACCATAAAAGAATATTTTTATACAGTTTTACCAGCTCTATCAGTAATTTACTGCTCCTCTCTGTAACACTTTCATCCACACTACGCACTGCCATCTGAATCAAGCCAAACCGAGCGTGCCCTGCCATCTCCTCTGGCTCTCCGGAGTCTGCATTCCAAAATTTCCTACAGATGCACTGTATGAATGTGTGTGAATGGGTGAATGTAAAACTGTGCTGGAAAGCACTTTGTCATCAGGATTAGAAAAGCACTATATAAATACAGACCATTTACAGGATTTACCATTTGTGTCCAATGAAACTGTTTGTTTGAGTGTTTTTTTTTTGTCACTGGTGAGAGAGAAAGAGGGAGCATTTCAGTCTGGTTTCCACTAGCTCCATATTACAGAAAAGGCCTTGGTAAAAATCAACAATGACCTCCTCAGGGCAGCTGACTCCAGACTGTTTAGCATTTTCATCCTCCTTGATCTGAGTGCTGCCTTTGACACAATTTCTAATAATATTCTCAATGTAAGACTAGCCTCCATTGACATCAGCCTCAAAACCCATTCACATGATCACAGTCCCACCTTCAACAGATCCATATGTCAATATTGATTCATCATCACAGTACCACCTGCTGGTGACAGGAAGTGACACTGTTTTTTTTTTTTTTCAAAAATATTTTCATTGAACTTTTGTTATATATTTCACTTATACAAATAGACAACAATCAAAACAATAACATCCATAAAATAAACAGTCACAATTTCCTCAAGACATTTCACATACTTCACACATTTAAAACAAACAACACACACTAACACTCAACTACACGCGTCAATACAGCAGTTTCAAGTTGATTATGCATTTTAACATTTAAGAAACTCTATTAAAGGTTTCCACACAGTCTCAAACTCTGCAGTCCTTCCCCTGGTTATATAAGTCATTCTTTCCATTACAATACAAGATGCCATCTCCTTTATCCACACTTGTATCGAGGGCATATCTATTTTTTTCCAAGACAGAACGATCATCCTCTTGGCCTGTAGGAGTCATCAATTAAAGTTGACTTTAGGATTGACCATAAAGTTTTTGGGGATATATACCAAGTATACAAATTTTTGCCTGATGAGGTACCTTCACTATAACAATCTCAGATAAAGTCAAAACAATTTATTTCCAATATTTTTTTATTTTTGGGCAGTTCCATACACCGTGGTACAGAGTACCCTTTCCTTCCAAGCACTTAATGCACGTGTCTGGCACATCAGGGGACCATTGGTTTAACTTAACCGGGGTAATGTATGTTCTTATCAACCATTTCTATTGTAATAATTTCATTCTAGAACTGATAGATTGTTATTGGGCTTTAAATGTAAGAAGATTACCATCCATATAAAGGTCCTCTATTTTTGCGCACCATTATCTGCCCAGATTCTGAATCCACCGTCTGCCCTTCCTGCTTTGAAATATGTATAACCCAATATGGGGGCGAAACGAGAGATGGAAGGAGTGTCTCCAATATGCTAATGTGCTTTGTACCAGACGTCAACAGTGTTTCAGAGGAAAGAATTCCCTGTTAATCTTTTTAGCTTCTTTAGATCTGCAGAATACATATACAGCCTTAATGGGAGGTTTGGTACTGATGCCTGCTCAATATTCGCCCAGGCTGGAGGGGCCTCCAGTGAGAAATAAAAAATAGCAGAACGTAACTGGGCAGACCAATAATACAATTTCAGACTTGGAAGCCGTAGCCCTCCCCTCTCATATGGCAAGTACAGCAATCTGAGTCTCAGTCCAAATGAATTTACCAAAAGTACTATTAAGTTTGTCAAAAAATGAACCTGGCAGTGGAAGTGGGAGTGATAGAAACAGGTATAAAAATGTTGGTAATATACCAATTTTAATCAGATTTATATGGCCAATCATTGATATGGGCAACGTCAACTATCGGTCCAATGTAAATGGTTGTATTTATATAGCACTTTTCTAGTCTTGAACACACATTCATACATAGAGTGCTTCTATAGCTAGCACTTTTTTTGTTGTTCTATTTGTTCTTTGTTCTATTCAGTATTCACTATTCAGGGTTCAGTATCTTGCCCAAGGACACTTTGGCATGCAGATGGGAAGAATGGGGATTGAACTTCCGACCTTCTGGTTGGAGGACGACCGCTCTACCCCCTCAGCCACAGCCACCCAATGTCTCAATTACTTCGTCTGTTAGTGCATCATAGTTTGCTGGAATGATCAGTTTAATTTCAGGTGTAATTTTGACACCAAGATAGGTGAATCCTTCCTTTGCATTAGGAAAGGTTTTTTTTATGACCAGTTTTAATCTCTCTTCTTTATTTATAAAAAGTATAGATGATTTTGCGTTATTAATGTTATACCCAGAAAACCACCCAAACTGTTCAATCTGTTGTAAAAGATGTGGGACACTAATTGACAGTTTAGTTAAAAACACAGTCATGTCGTCAGCATACAAGGATATTTTATGCTCCTGTTCTCCTAGACAAATGCCCAATATGCCCGTCTGTGTCCTTATTGCCATAGCCAGTGGCTTTATGTCCAATATAAATAACATAGGTGACAGAGGGCACCCCTGGCGAGTAGATCGCTCCAATGTGACTGGTTTAGAGACTATACTGTTTGTCAAGACACTGGCTGTTGGGCTTGTATATAAAATCTGAATCCATTTAAGAAATTTCTGTCCAAATCCATATCTTGGCAAAACATTAGTTAATAAGTATGGCCATTCTATTCTATCGAAAGCTTGCCGGGCATCCAGTGAGAGTAATGCTGTATCTTTCGCATAAAATTTTTCATGAATTATATTAAGAACTCGTCTAATATTGTGAAATCCTTGACGTTTTTGGACAAAACCATTCTGATCATTATGAACTATGCATGAACTATGCAGTTCCTGTTTGATAGGATTCTTTGAACATATTAATTAGTGGGATTAATAGTTTTTCTTTAAATGTTTTATAGAATTCAATAAGCAAACCATCAGGCCCTGGAACCTTGCCACTGTTAATTTTTTGGAAAGCCTGTGAAATTTCTTCAGTTGTCAAATCACYATCTAATTCATTTTTAGCATCTTCCGTCAGTGTCTGGAATTGAAACCAATCAAAATATGTATCCCACTCTTCTGCAGTTTGGGGGCATTCTGACCTATATAAGTTTTCATAAAATTCTCTAAAACTATTAATTACTACTAATTAATTTCCAATGGATCTATTGACAGGTTCCCCGAAGAAGTCATTATACTATTAATTGCTCTCTCAGACTGTATTTTTTTAACTCTCCATGCCAAAAGTTTCCCAGCTTTTTCCCCTTGATGGTAATAGGATTGTTTTAGCCACATTAAACTTTTTACAACTAAATCAACAGATTACTTATTATATTTAGCTCTCAGAAGTAGCAAGTCTCTCTGTTTCCTTGGATCATCCTTTACATTTAGGCTTATCTCTAAGGAATTAATTTGTTTTTCCAATGTTTCCATCATTACCCTTTGTTGTTTGGTCTTGGAGCTTGTGTAACTGATGATTTCTCCTCTAATGTATGCCTTAAACTCTTCCCATCTCATGCTGGCACTGGTTTGATCAGTATTTAACTCAAAATAACTGTCTATTTTAGTTCCCACATATTTAACAAAGTCCGGGTCCTGTAACCATCTTACTTGCAATCACCAATTAGGGGGGTTATGAACAAATTTCTCTATATGCATATTTAATGAAATAGCAGCTTATGATGATCGCTTATTACTATGCTGTCATACCAAAATCTTTTAATTTAATTTAAAAAGAGTTTCCATGAGACAAGAAAGTAATCAATACGGGAACGCGACATATGCATACTTGAGTGACTAGAATATTCTATTTTACCAGGATTCTGCTCTCGCCAAACTTCAACCAAATTTATGTCATCTATATAGATGACCTTTAAATGGTATTAATATAGAGAAACCCAACAGCTCCCACAATGAGCAGCACTTTTATGACTGTGGAGAGGAAAAACTCCCTCATTAACAGGGAGAAAGCTCTGGCAGAACCAGGCTCAATGTGGGCGATCATCTGCCTCAACCGGTTGGGGTGAGCAGTTTTATCAGATAAACACTGACTATAATAGAATATCTGTCCAGAATCTGTGATATTAATCATTCTAAATTCAAATGTAATTAAAAAATGGTCAGACAGTAAAAGGTTCTGTTGAAATATTATAACATTTTCAATGTCTATGCCATATGTCAGAACAAGATCAAGGGTGTGATTTCAACAGTGAGTGGGTTTATTCACATGTTGAGTGAAACCAATCGTCTATTATTGAGTTGAAGGCTGAACTAAGGCTGTTGTTGGCAACATCTACATGAATGTTGAAATCACCTACTATAATGATTTTATCTGTCCTAAGAACTAGTTCTGATAGAAATTCAGAGAATTCAGATAAAAATTAGTAAGGGGCAGCCGGACGATATATGTTAAATTGTTTTATGTGATTTCAGGCTTGGATGAATGAGGCTGATTATAAGATTTTCAAAAGAATTTTAACTTTCCTTTGGTAGAGGGTTGATAGATAAGTCAGATTTAGAGATTGCTGCAACCCCTCCACCTCTGCCTGTGCTTCGAGGAATATGAGTATTAGTATGGGTTGGGGGCGTCGCTTCATTTAAACATACATATTCGCCATCTTGCAGTCAGGTATCTGTTAGACATAATATATTCATTTGATGATCAGTAATCAGATCATTAATGAGTAATGATTTTGGATTGGGTGACCTGATATTTAATAAACTGCATTTTATACTTCTGTTTTTTGTTACCGATATATTGGTTGTGCTGACATTTATTAGGTTTGAATGTATTACCCCTCTCCTGTTTACTTTTGATTTAATGAA